TTAAACCCACCAGCCCTGGAGCATGTGGCTGGCACCCTAACCACTGAGCTAAGAGTGCCCAGCCCCATCTGATCTTTAACAAAGCAAACAATAACACACCCTGGGAAAAAGAATCTCTATTCAATACATGGTGCTGGGAAAATTGGATAGCCACATGTAGAAGACTAAAACAGGATTCATACCTCTTACCACTCACAAAAATTAATTCATCATGGATAACAGACTTAAACCTAGGGCACGAAACAATAAGAATTCTAAAAGAAAATGTTGGAAAAACTCTTACAGACATCAGTTTCAGAATTTAAAGAATTTATAAAGAAGACCCCAAAGGCAACCACCACCACAACAAACATTATTATGGCTCAGTACCTGTAGCTCAGTGGCCAGGGTGCCAGCCACATACACCGGAGCTGGCGGATTCGAACCCAGCCCAGGCCTGCCAAACAACAATGACAACTACAACCAAAAAATAGCCAGGCGTCATGGTGGGTGCCTGTAGTCCCAGCTACTTGGGAGGCTGAGGCAAGAGAATTGCTTAAGCCCAAGAGTTTGAAGTTGCTGTGAGCTGTGACTCTCTACTGAGGGTGACGTAGTGAGACTGTCTCAAAAAAAAAAAAAAAAAAAAACAACAAACATTATCAAATGGGACCTGATAAAATTAAAAAGCTTCACCACAGCCATGGAAACAATCAAGAGCAAATAGATAACATACAGAATGGGAGAAAATATTTGCATTCTATATGTCTGGTAAAGGGCTGATAATTAATTAGAATGACACTGTACTTCTGCCATTTTCTTTGTCCTACCTGTCACATTGTGAGGCTAGCATTCATTTCATTAATGCCATTTTTTAAGCAAACGTCATGCTACACATTACTACTGTAATTCAACTTTGAAAGAAAAAGTAATACATATACAACAGCATTTAAAATGTGTATACTTTTTTTGGCACCCTGGTATTTCTCTTCCTTAAGTGTCCTGACTAGACCTCCAGGACAATGTTGACTAGAAGTGGCAAGGGTAGACATCTTTGTCTTGATTCTGATCTTAGGGGAAGGCTCTCTTTTACCATTAGGTATGACATTTCTGTGGGTTTTACATATCCTTTCATTAGGATGAGGAAGTTCCCTTCTATTCCTAGTGTTTTTATCATGAAAGAGTGTTAGATTTTGTCAAGTGCTTTTTCTGTGTTTTTTGAGATGATCGTGTGGTTCTTGTCCTTCATTCTACTGATAGAGTATATTACATTAATTGATTTCCAGATGCTAAACAAGTCTTACATTTTTCAGATAAACCTCATTTGGTAATGGTACATCATCCTTTTTATACATTACTGATTCAGTTTGCTAGTATTTTCATACTTATATACATAAAAGATATTGGTCTGTAGTTTTCTTTTCTTTGTTTTTAGTATTAGAAATACTAGCCTACAGGGCCAGGTACAGTGGCTCGCGTCTGTAATCCTAACACTTTGGGAGGCCAAGACAGGTGAATTACCCTGAGCTCACAGGTTCGAGATCAACCTGAGCAGGAGCAAGACCTCATCTCTAAAAATAGCCAGGCATTATGCACGCCTGTAGTCCCAGCTACTTGGGAGGCTGAGGCAAGAGAATCGTTTGAGCCCAAGAGTTGGAGGTTTCTGTGAGCTATGATGCCATAGCCTCTACTGAGGGTGACAAAGTAAGACTGTCTCAAAAAAAAAAAAAAA